TCTGAGACAGAGTCAAATGACTAAATGTAATACCTTGATCACTACTAGTCAATGACACTAGTAGTATTACACTGTAGCTGGGGGCATATGCAGTTAGTACCCATTAGACACTTCTAAAAATAGCTGCCATGCAAATGTTCAGCTGCCCGAAATCCAATACATTAGAAAGACGCAGAGCACACATGTATACGAACTTACTGTTGCCTTCTGGGCATGACGTAATGATTTGTATGGGGGGATATATAAGAGAAGCAATGTAAAAATACAAAACCAATATACTTGCACAAGCTAATAAGATTAGATTTGAAGACTTTCTAAAACATTAATCATTATTATCATATATAGTATAATAAAATAAAATATGTATTCATCAATCCAGTCATAAGTTGTTTGGTCTCTGCCTGTATACTATTGCTAAGCTCGCACTCCAGACAGATACAAAATAGTTCTGAATTAAATCCCAGGAACCTACAGTACTATTGCCAGTGTTGCGTTTCATGAAAGCTACTGAACATAACAGCTACTATTTGCTCTGTTCGTCCCATATTAAACTGGGTGCAGATTTTGTAGTGTTGCTATAGCAGGGTGCCAAATTAACGGGAGTCCGGAGTCGAAAACTCCCTGATTTACTGTCGGACTCCCTGATTTGCCATATGCAGGAGTCCGTGTGACTCCCTGAAAACTCGGCCATACTAACTAGTTCGTTCCGGAGCACGGCCTCGCAGAATTACTGTATTTTTTCAGCTAATGTCAAAAGAAAATTTGGCAGACGTGCAACTGCATGAATCTTAAAAATAAGCACATGCGTTATTGTTAATATTTTTAATTTTGAACCTCAGACTGCGGACTCTCTCATTTTGCTGCGGACTCCCTCTTTTTGAGGGTAGGGAATCCATTGGACTCCCTTGTTCAAAAGTTCATTTCTACCCCTGTATAGCATATAAACACAGTTGCATGGTTTAGAAATTGTTCGGCCATGTTCAAGTTACCAAACAAATAAATTATAATGCAGTACCATCATGATTCTGCACACACCATGCATGGAGACACAGGTGCGTCTGCACAGCCACATATTAAAAAATGTGACTACGTGAGAGATAGAATTAGAGATAGTATAGAATATAGATAGTATAGCACTTCAAGCATCAGTAGACACATGTAACCCTGACCCATTTGTCAGACTTTCAGAACCTGCAGCTCTACGTAAAACCAGTCATCCGTGAATGTTACAACAACTTTCACTAGCCTCATGGACGATGTGCCCTTGTATCACAGAACTCACTCCCGCCAAAATGTTAATTTGAATTATGCATTTAATGAAGAATAAAAATGACTGAAAATGGTAAAGTAAATTATGCAAGCTTGACTTCAACCTTGGCGTAGATTCACTTGGGGGAAACTTACAGCCTTATTTTAAAATCTACAGCCCTTGAAAGAAATAGCAAACAGTTATGACACCATAACCACTAAAATGTCATAACTTTTTAAGTGTTGTACAAAAGTTATAACACTTTACACTTATGACAGTCATAAACATTTGAGTTTCTGACAGCTGGCCACTGGATAACAAGTAAAAATGCCTCACCATTGCTATATATTGTTTGTACTAATCAGGGCACGAAATTCAGATTATTTTTGCACCGGCCCAGATGGCTGGTAAACAGTAAAGGCTCACCATAATTTACCAGCCCTCACAAATTTGTTTGTAAAATCAATGTCATGTTTCATGCATGCATTTTCGATTTCAAATTTGTAAAATGTTGATAAGTTATGGCGTGATATCCTTCAGGCAAAACAGTAATGTAGGCCATTTGCTATAAATAATGTAGGCAATAAATACAAATGTAACTCGCTAACACAGCTGAAACCACATGGCCGGTGTTTTGCCAATGTTACCGGCCTCCAAATAATTTGCCGCCATATGCCGGTGCTAATTTCGCGCCCTGCTAATATATGTGACCCGCTCCAGCCTAATATGGACTAAGTCGCAAGTCATTGTTTTGAGTATAAATGAGCATGCACACATGTCAATGCTGAAAATGGCCTACCTAGACGAAAATAAGTTTCTAAGTGCATATTTAATCCAGATATATATATAGGTTCAGATATCTCTAGATTATTATGGTCATTTTTAATTTTAAAAAAATAAAATAATTATTTTGAAGGGCCCCTGACCGCTCATCCCCGACTGGGCCCCTTACCCGGAACGCTTTATCTCAAAAGCTGCATATTCCGGAATAAGTCGGTTTCCGATCTTCAAATTGCTGTAGATCAGTCCATTCTTTAGATATAGCCAAATATTATATATCATTTTAAAGGTAATTAAATTATATATTCAGATATGCACATAACTTAATTTGTAGAATTTCCTACTTAATCCTGGTTTTGCTGAAGCGGGTCACATATGATTAATGAATTGTAAGAAAAGGATATTTACTATACACCCTATTCCTATCCGGAACCCGTCTCACAGTCATTTAATATTTGTAATACAGACTTTCACAACAATCAATTATGCATAACTTATTTGTACAATTGGTTCTGGTTGCATGAAAGGGTAACCCAGTCAAGGTTGCCAGTCATTGTGGCAGCATTCAACTTTGCCACTCATCTACATACACCCTGTTATTTTTTATAGAACTTATTACACAACTAGTGCAATTATCAGTGATTTCAAAAATCACATGAATTGTTAAACACTAGCACTACTCCGGGTATCCAAAAACACAATGTGGAAGTACAAACTAGAGACTGAGATGTGCCTGACCAATTTACTTAAAACGTGCAATCAACCATTTGAGTGAGGCTTGTGAATGAAGTGTAGCATCTGGGTGCTTCCGAGCTATCGAGTAATAAATAACGTGCGTAACTTTTTGGGACATATTTTCCCATATATCTGTTTATAACAAATTATGAATGTAGTAGTTTCAATTTTAAGCTGTAGAGATAAAAACAATAGTTTTGACCAGAATTTGTCATGGAATACAAATTTTATACATGTTTTAGTGTGAAAATGTCAATGTTTTCTCGTGACATTTTGTGACGTGTAATTTTTGCATGCTTAACATGTTGTATAAATATTTAAATTTTATTCCCCTCCATTATGTCTTAGATATGGTTAGAAATGACACAAATTGGTTTGATGAAACAAAATAATCCTTAAAATATATTATTTTTTAATGTTTTATCTTCTTTTGAATTTAGTAGACACGGACGTTACCTGTCTGTCAAAAAAAAACACTTACATTTTGCACTAAAATTTAAAACCCACACAAATACAGTACAACCTTGGAAGTATCATTAATACATACATTGAATG